TCCCCGGGGGGATGGCGAACTCCTCCTCGATGAGCGCGCGCAGGTCCATGATGGTGGCGTAGGGATTCTGGACCGTGACGCGCGCCCGCCGCAGGATGAGCCCCATGTCGCGCCAGACGAGCGTGACGGGAAACGGACCGGGCTCGGGCTGGCCGAGGATCTGGCGGATGGCCCGCTCGCGGTCGAGTTCGAAGGGCTGCGCCGCCATCGTCTCTGAGTGGTCTTCGATGGGCAGCACCTTTTAAGTTTGGAGTAGTTATTGAAGGGGACGCGCGCCCGACCGCGTCCGTCCGGGGAGGTTGAGTCGGATGTTTCTCCGGTGTTGCAGAATTCTAAAACTCGAGTTTACGAGGGGCGACGTCGATCCCCTCGATCTTCCGCGTTCGCGCCGACGGGCCCCGGAAGATCTCCCGGGTCTGGCCGCCGATCTCGGCGAGCTCGGCGATCTCGCGCGTCGCGTCGACGGCGAGGCCGAGCTCCGCGAGCGCGAGCCGAATGCAGCGCCTTTTTTGGAAGGCGAAGCGGAGGACACGGAGCGCGCGCTCGCGCACGGCCCTGTGGACGACGACGTGGCGGTACACGAAGTGCCAGGGCCGGTCGAGGCCCGCGAGCCGTCGGAGAGACGGCGCGGCGAACCGAAGCGCGCGAGCGTAGAGCCTCGGCGCCATCAGCGCGACGTCGAAGAAAAAGAGCCAGCTCCGGGCGTAGTCGTGGTTCAGCGGCTCGAGCGAGCCGTCGCGCCGCCGCCGGCCCGTGACGAGGTGCACAAAAATGTCCGCGAAGAGGAACCACCACACGACGTCGCCGTAAGCGTTCCGCGGCCGCGCGCCGACGTCCTCGGGCCGGGCGCCGACTCGGCGACGGAAGAGGCCCCGCCGCGGCGCCGCGATCGCGCAAGGCACGCCTTCGAAATCGGTCGCGCGCGGCGTGGCGAGACACGCGGCGATGGCCTGCTCGACCCGTCGCTTCGCGAGGAAATCCACGACGGTGCGATGGCTGTGCGTACACATGAGCACGACGCCGAGGAGCCGCCAGGCGCGCAGTCGCGGCGACCGGTGGGAGACGAGATAGGGGCGACGCATCAGGTGTTGCGCCGGCGCGATCCTCGAGCTGTGGATATTTTATCGGCGCAATCGCTGCCGCGCCCGACGACGTCCTCGACCTCGCGCGCCGCCGCCAGTCGGACCACACTCATAGGCGTGCGTTACGCCGCGCTCCGCCCGCAGCTAAAGGGCAGGCGCCGACTTTTCCGGACGGGCGGGGGCAGCCAGGGCGGGAAGTTGTTGAGGATGCCCGGCTCCGCGGCCGCGTCGAGCGGCCGGTACTCCTCCTCCGCGTTGAGCGGTCGCGCGTCCGGGAGGAAGATGGGCCGGTCGTCGGCCGTCGCCGCCTCGACGGCCAGTAACCCCAACCCGAGCGCGTTCGACGCCACGAGGATCCAGAGGAGCTGGCGCGGCGACGCGACCGCGTCGAGCAAGATGAACGTCGCCATCGGCAGGTTGAACGCGAAGACGAGGCCCGCGCCGGCCGACGCCTCGAGCGGCGCGGGCGCCGGCGCCGTCGCGAGCTCGTAGATGGCCCCCTCCGGCGCGACGACGCCGAAGGCGGCGACGAGCGCCAGCGCGAGGGCCGCGGGCGAGCGCCGCGGCGCCGCCTCGGCGACGACGGCGAACGCGAAGAGCGCCGCGAGCGCCGAAGCGTTGCACGACAGGATCGCTAAGCGCTTGCGGCGCGTGGACAGCGCGCCCGACAGCACCTGGGCCGCCGCCGCCGCGAAGCAGCAGGCGACGCCGACGGCGTTGGCGTCGCGGGGCGCCCACCCGGAGCTCTCGAGGAGCGGGGTGAGCACGCCGAGCCATCCCGTGAACGCGCCCATGGTCATGCCGCAGCCCGCGGCGAGGAGCACGTAGGACCGCGACTTGAGCAGCGGCCCGAAGGCCGGGAGGGGCGCGTCCGCGTCGCCGTCGGGCGCGTCCCGGCGGAAGACGCCGCGGCGAGCGGCGACGAGGGCGAGGATCGCGAGGGCGGCGGCGCACTCGTAGACCAGCAGCCCCTCGACGTCGTCCTTCGCGGCCGCGGCGGCGACGAAGCCCAGGCCGCCGCCGAGGGAGTTCGCCGCGAGCATGGTCGACGTGCCGAGGTGGCGCCGGGGTTCGTCGAGCGCGTCGCGCGCGACCATCGCCGGCGTCGACAGGATGAGCACGCCGCCGACGCCGTTGAGCGCGCAGGACGCGTGCGCCAGGAGCAGCCGCGGCAGGCCCCGGCCCGGCGCGCACCGCAGCGCCGCGGCGCCGGCGCAGAGCGCGCAGACGGCGGTCGTCGTGTTCCGGGGCCCGCCGAGGCGCCGTACGAGCCGCGGCGCGGCGGGCGACGCGAGGAGCCCGAGCGCGGGGCCCCAGACGCTCAGGAGCGCGACCTCGCGGTTGCGCCAGCCGAAGGCGGCCTCCGCGGCGGCCGCCGCGGGGCCGTAGGTGATCCAGAGCGCCGCGGTGAGCATCGACGCGGCGCAGTAGCTCGCGATCTCGACGCACGCCTCGGTCGTCGTGATCGTTTCCATGGTTTTTTATTTCGCGGTGAGTTGTTGTGCCCTCGTTAGGCGGAGGACCAGGCGCCGGAGCGCGCGAGCTCGCCGAAGACGGAGGTGACGGGGTTCGAGTCCTTCTGGCTGCGCGCGTCGGCCTGGAGGATGCGCTCCTCCATGCGCTCGATCTTGGCGCCGATCTCGCGCTCCTGGTCGTCGAGGGAGACCTTGAGGTCCTTGAAGGGGTCGACCTAGACGATGCGGCGTTCCGGGGCGTTTCGGTCGTCCGCGCGCGCGCGCGCCGCGGCACGGCGTGCGTGTTTCGTGGGCGGCGGAGAAACGCGAGGGACGCGGGCGCGCGACGGGCTCCTTTTTCTTCTCCTGGTCGCTGCTGAGCCGGACGACGAGCGATGGCATGATGGCGCTCGCGGAGACGAGGTTCGGCTTGACGGTCTTGACGGCCTTGCCGATCGACCCCGCGCGGTCGCGCGCCTAGTCCATGGTTTGCTTTTGAGCGGCTCCGTCAGGGCAACATGCAGAGGCTCTTCGTGCGCTGCCCCTGGCTGATTGGCCTCTCGTTCGCGCGACGCTTCCCAAAGTACACAGGCTGCAACCGCATGGAGGACGCGCTGCTGCCCGGCGGCGGCTCGGCGCCGCCGCCGCAGCATCCGCGGCGCGCGACCGTGCGGTCCACGGTGCTCAACGTGTTCACGCTCATCTGCTACCCCTACGGCGTGCCCTACTGCTTCGGCCAGATGGGCTGGGTGCTCGGCAGCGTCTTCCTCGTGGGCAGCACGTGGATCAACGTCGAGGCCGGCGTCGCCCTCGGCGAGATCTGCGCGCGCAAGCCCGAGCTCACGAGCTTTCCGAAGGTCGTCCGCGCGGCGTTCGGGGGCCGGTGGGGCGCCGCGACGCTGTGGCTCCAGTACGGCTCCTACTGGCTGACGAACGTCTATAATTTCGTCATCACGGCGGAGTACTGGACGGAGAGCGGCGTGCTCACGACGTGGTGCGAGCAGCGCTTCATGTTCCTCACGTACGTTTTGATCGTGCCTTTAATCCAGCTGCCGGACTACCACGCGATGGCGCCCGCGGCGCTGTTCAGCAACGCCGTCATCGTGCTCGGCGTGCTGAGCTTGTTCTGGGTGGCCTACGTCCAGGGCGGGCCGGAGCCGGGCGTCGACTACGAGACCGCTGGCTTCGGCCGCGCGAGCCGGGGCGGCGTGTCGATGGCGTTCGCGCTGGCCGGCGCGGGCGTCTTCCCGGAGCTCATCGCCGAGATGAAGCACCCGGACCAGTTCGCCAGGGCCGTCCGCTGCGCCTTCCTGCCCGTCTTTTTGTTGTACGCGGCGTGCGGCCTCGCGGGGTTCTGGCTCTTCGGCGGCGACGCCGCGGGCGACATCCTGCGGAACTTTCCCCCGAACCTCGCCGCGACGCACGTGACGGCGTTTCTCATGGCGTTGTCGTTCCTCGTGTCGACGGTGGAGAACAATTTGTTCATGGTGCTGGGCATCGAACGCGCGGCGGCGGCGCGGTGGCCGGGGTTACGCGAGTCCGCGCCGCGGACGAAGAGCTTCCTGTTCCGCGCGGCGTTCCTGGCGTCGGAGCTCGTCGTCGCCGCGGCGCTGCGCGGCGCGGGCGCGGGCGACATGCAGGCCTTGGCGGGCGCCGTGTCGGGGCCGGCGCTGTGCTACGCGGGGCAGCAAAAGGGTGCGAAATTCCCAACTTCAAAGGCTCATATCTCGGTCGTTTTCCACTCGTTTTGGCTGATTTTGGCTGATTTTTGGACGAGCGATCATCTCTCGGAACGGTCTCGAAGCGTTGATGCTTTTCGGGGAACACTCACGTTGAAGCGTCGTTGAATCACCCTTTTGCTGCCCAGGTGCTACGCGGCGCCGTTCGCGTGCCACCTCGCGCTCTTCGCGGGCGAGCACTCGCGGCCGCGCCGGTGGGCGTTCCTGGCGTTCGTCGTCGCCGGCGGCCTGCTCTGCGTCTTCGGCACCTACTACTCGGTGCTGGGCGTCGTCGAGGCCGCGTCGAGCTACACGATCTTCGGCGGCTCCTGCCGGCTGGCCGCGGAGCGGGCGTAGGCCCGCCGTTTAAATCCGCCGTTCGCTCGAGGTTGATCCTGGGGGTTGCGGGGAGGCGTCGTCGAGAGGCGTCGTTTGCGTGTGTGCGGCTAATTGTAAGTGCTAATTGTGCGGCGGCTAACAAAAAGCACTTCAAAAAGCTGTGATTTCTGTGCAACAAAAACGAACTCACTCATCTCGTCTCGATCTTGCAGCTGACGCGCTCGAGGCTGTGTCCTCGTCTTTAGTTGCTCGACGCGTCCGGCCAGCGCCCGACGGCCGCGGCCATATGGGCCTCCTCAATGACATGAAGGCCGCGGACGTCGTGTCGCTGTCGCTGTCGCTGTCCGCGGCGGCGCTCAGCGGCTTCGTGCTCTGGAGCAACCTGCGCGCCGGCGACGAGCCATCCCCCGGCGCCGGGTCTGCCAAGCCGACGGCCGAGGAGGAGAAGAAGCGCAAGCAGGCCGCGCGGTGCCGCGCCATCGAGACGCTCATCATGGAGCGCGGTCAGGCGGGCACGAAGGACTACCGCGTGCACGTCCTCGCCAAGGACGGCGACGAGGCGAAGACCGTCGCCGAGCTCAGCCTCTGGCACGACGTGCCCCTCGCCGCGCCCGGGTCCTCCGGCCGCGGCAGCCTCTTCAACTTCATCTGCGAGATCCCCAAGTGCACGCGCAAGAAGTTCGAGGTCGCGACGACCGAGGGCGCGACGCCGATCAAGCAGGACACGAAGAAGGGCGTGCTCCGCGAGTTCAAGAAGGGCGACATCTTCTTCAACTACGGCTGCTTCCCGCGGACCTGGGAGGACCCGCGCCACGTGTCCCCGGACACGGGCTACCCCGGCGACAACGACCCGCTCGACGTCTGCGAGATCGGCCTCCGCCAGATCCAGACGGGCGAGATCCGCGCGGTCAAGGTCCTCGGCGTCCTCGCGATGATCGACGACGACGAGACGGACTGGAAGATCGTCGCCATCGACGCCGCGGACCGCTGGGCGTCGGAGCTCAACGACGTCGGCGACGTCGAGCGGCTCCTCCCGGGCACCGTGAGCCTCATCCGCGAGTGGTTCCGGACCTACAAGATCCCCGACGGCAAGCCGCCGAACAAGTTCGCCCTCGGCGAGGAGTGCAAGGGCGCGGCCTACGCCCACAAGGTCATCCACGAGACCCACGAGGCCTGGGTCAACCTCGTCAAGACCCAGGTCGGCGCGGACTTTGGCTTCCAGCTCCCCAAGGTCGAGACGCTCCGCGACGTCGACGTCGACACGACGCTCGTCCGCTCCCTCAGCGGCAACAACCTCGCCGCGAGCGGCTAGGTCCTGTGTGTAAGTGGCAAGCATCGCCCGGGCGTTCCGGCGGGAGGGCGCCCGCCGGGAGTCGCCCGGGCCGTCTCTCGATCTCTCGACCTCTACGCGCGGCCTCGCCGGCGCGCCGTCTAGCACGTGCGACTTAGAGTTCGCCCGGGTTGAAGTCGCCGACGGGCCGCTCCGTGCCGTCCTCGAAGAAGAAGCGGGCGAAGATGGCGGCGTCGATGGCCGCGGCGGTCGGCCGCGCCGCGCCCGCGGGCCAGATGGCCTCGACCTCGGCCGCGACCCAGCGCGCGAGGAGGCCCCAGGTCAGGCGCGCGTCGGGCACGCCCTCGAGGTAGCGCGGCGACACCTGGGCGAACTTGAGGGACAGCTCCTGGCGGCTGAGCACGCCGTCGCGATTCTCGTCGACGACGAAGTCGCTCTCGTCGTCGTCGTCGTCGTCGTCCCCCTCCTCCTCGAGCGGGCAGCGCGTCCGCGTCACGTTGCAGCCGCGGCGCCAGGCGCGGGGCCCGTAGGACCGGCAGAACCAGGGGTCCGGGTAGACGACGTCCGCGAGCGGCGCGGGCGCGTCGACGGGGCCCCGGTCCGTCGTCGGTTCGACGTCGCCGAGCGCGCCCGCCCAGAAGAGGCACGACGGGTCCTTGACCATGGCCTTGATGCGCGTGAGCTTCTTCGACTGGCGCATCAGACGTCGGACCTTGCCCTCGCAGTAGACGTCCACGAGGATGGCGTGGTGCGCCTCGTCGTGGTAGTTGCCCGTGATCGCGAGCGCGGGGGCGTCGCCGACGTTCGAGCCGCCGTGGAGCGCCGCCACGGGGATGTAGACGGAATCGCCGGGCTCGAGCACGGACGAGTAGACGTCGGCGCCGCCGACGGCGTCGAGCACCGCGGCGTCGTCGTACCAGTCGAGCGCGAACTCGGCGTCGCCGTCGTCGTCGACGACCTGGGCAGGACAAGGGTGATTCAACGTCGCTTCAACACGAGTTTTCCGCGCGCGCGCGTTCCGGAAAAAACATCCACGCTTCAAGACCGTTCCGAGAGATGATCGCTCGTCCAAAAATCAGCCGAAACGAGTAGAAAACGGCCGAGATATGAGCCTTTGAAGTTGGGAATTTCGCTCTCTTGCCCTGCCCTGTCGACGACGCCCCGGTCGACGAGCGCGGGGCTCCAGTGGCCCCGCTCGACGGCCCGGAAGATCTTGCGCCCGGCGAGGAGCGTGAGCCAGAACGGCAGGAACGAGTTGTCCACGTGGAGCTGGGACCGCGTGCCCGGCATGCCGGCGATGAGCACGGGCCACGCCTGCGCGCGACGGCGACGATGCGACGTCGCCGCGACGCGCGCGCGTGCCGGACGCGAGCGTCCGCGCGTCGAGGCCGCTCCGAGGGAGGATCGCTCGTCCAACAAGCGGCCGACACGAGCGGGACACGGCCGAGGGAGACGCGGGGCGCCCGCGTCCCGCGCCGGGCCGCGCCGCGCCCGTCATCTCCGCCTGGGCCGTCACGTCCTGCTTGAAGTAGGGCAGGATCGTCGTCTGCTCCACGAAGGCCTCGCAGTCGCACTTGAGGTTGTAGTCGAAGCCGTAGATGTCCCGGGATCGATTCGACCGCTCGACCTCGCCGAAGAACGACGCGAGGGGAACGCGCCGCTCGCCGCGCATGTCGAAGCCGCCCCAGGCGCTCGACGACGCGTCGGAGACGTAGCGCGTGATCTCGCCGGCGCCGCAGCGGTCCCGGAAGTCGCCGGCGCTCCAGAGCGCCGCCTCGGCGCGCGTCCGGTCGTTGCCGCGGATCACCACGGGCCGCAGCTTGTCGGCGTACTCGGCCTTGAACCGGGCCATCGTCAGCTCGTCGGCGCGCTCCACGGGGAACTCGACGAAGGCGCACCGGACGGCGACGGCGAGCAGGGCCGCGGCAGCCCACAGCATGCCAGGCTTCCCGGCACTCGACATCTTGTGCGCCGAGAATTGCGAGATAGACGGACTGCACGTTGCACTTCAAGTTGCGAAGCGCTCCGGCGGCGCGCGCCGGCGGTCGTCGAGCCTCCGCCAGATCAGACAATGTCATGGCCTCGACGCCGTGAAGCTACCACCGGCAACCGCTGAACTCCGACTCCCGCGGTTCCTCCCGCCCCCCCTACGTTTGGAGACGCGTCGAGGCAACCGCTGCCTCGCAATTTGCTGCAACCACTGCTGCCAAACGAGCTGCCAACGAAGCATGGGCCTCGCCTCAACGATCCTCGCGTTCGCGGCCTGCGCGCACGCCGTCTCGACCACGCGGCGCGCCGTCGCCGGCGCCGTCGCGTCCATCGCCGCACCGCCCCTGGCCTCCGCCGGCCGCGTCGAGGAGATGGTCGCGGAGCGGCGCTACGAGCTCGACGACGCCGCGAGCCTCTTCGGCGACGGAGAAAAGAAGAGCGCCGTCGCCAAAGCCGTGACGGAGAGCAAGCTCGGCGTCGACGTGCGGCGGCGCGTCGTCCGCGGCGCGCAGCTCGCCGACGCGCTGGACGCGCGCTGGGACCAGCTCTCCTTCCTCGTGAACACGAACAAGGCCGCCGCGCCGCCGCCGCGGCCGCCGCCGCCGCCCGTCGACGCGGCGTTCGCGGCCGCGGCGCGGCGCTGCGGCGACGGCGCGTGCGCGGCCGCGGCGACGGCGACGGCGGCGGACGTGAAGCGCGAGGTCGCCGCGGCGCGCGCGACCTACGAGAGCGTCTGGGAGGCCAAGTACCCGGGCTGCGCCGCGAAGCCGCTCAGCGACCCCGCGGCGCTGGGCTTCGACGTCTACTGCGCGTTCCGCGCCTACAACGCCTTGCTCCCCGACGCCGGGGCCGCGGCGGCCTTCGAGGCCGCGTACGGGTCGAAGCTCCTCGACGAGCTCCTCGCCGGCGGAAACGTGCGCGCGCCCCGGGCCGCGCACGCGTCGCCGCAGGGGCTCGAGTCGTGCCTCCGGGGCTGCGGCGACGTGCTCGCGGCGCTCCAAAGAAAGGGATTCTGCGCGGCCCTGTCCGTCACGCTCCCCGACGGCGACGACCTCGCGGAGCTCCGCGGCTTCGCGGGCTGGGGCGACGCGAACGCGGGCGACCGGCCCGCGCCGCAGCTCCAGCTCTCCGCCGTCCTCGCGGACCCGCCGGAGCTGCGGCCGCGGCTCTTGCTCGAGGGCCAGGCGCGGCGCCTCGGGCTCCGCGTCCTGCCGGACGTCGCGTCGTCGTCGCTGCGGGCCTACCTCGTCGCGTCGGGCGTCCGGCCGACGGTCGAGGAGTACTTCGTCGACGACGTCTACCGGACGGCCTTCGACAAGGACGACTACAGCTCCATCCAGCTCGAGGTGCTGCTTAATTGACTGGATGAGCTGTTTCGTGATTCTTGGGAGTGGCTGTTGCGGCGCTGGCGAGGAGGCGTGTTCAAGTTGTCCCCGGGCTACTCGCGCTCTTAGCTCCGTTTGGGTCCCTCGGGGCACCGGGTGGGGGGCTTCGGGGGGGCTCCGGACAGCGCGGCGGCGGCGGCGCGTGGCTTTCGCGCCGCGGCGGGCCGCGGGGAGAAGCGCGCCTTGTCGGCGCTTCTCTTTTGGCGAGGTACGAGGGGCGCGCCTCCTAGTTCTCGCGGTGCTCGCAGAGCCACATCTTCTGGCCGTGCGCGTCGAACTTCTCGGCGCCCGCGAATTTCTTCACGCGGCACTTCGAGGCCTTCTTGCACTTGCCGTGCGAGATCTTGTAGGCGCAGGCCTTCTTGAACCGGCACGCGCCCTTCTTGTAGACGCAATTCCGCTTTTTGCGGCACCGCGATTCCTTGGTGAGGACCTCGCAGTCCGCGAGGCACTCGTGCGAGCCGCCGATCCAGCGCCGGCGCGCCCGGAAGCGGCGCGACAGGCGGCCCCACCGCCCGAAGAAGAAGCCCGCAAAGTAATCTGCGCGGAGCCCTATTAGAGCAGCTGCACGCGCGTCACCTCCACGCGCCGGAGGATCTTCCCCGGGAAGACGGAGTTCGCGCGGCCGTCGCCGATGGCCTTCGCCGCGCCGCGGAACGCGTCCTTCTGCGCGCGGTAGATCTCCGCCGCGAGGGGCACCTCCGTCGACGGGCCGACGGCGTCGAGGGAGTAGACGCCGAGGGACTCGATCTTCTCGAGGAGCCGCCCGTCGTCCCGGAGGACCGCGCCGAAGACCGCGTAGTCGGGATCGAGCTGCGGCGCGGCCCTGAGCGTCACCCCGAACGCCGTGACGTCCGCGCCCGCGTCGGACCGCCGCCGCGTGAGCAGCCCCCGCGCGTCGTGGGGCAGGGGCGACCGCTCGCGGCCGAGCCGCGCGGCGACGGACGCGCCGCGCGGCGACAGCGCCTCGGAGCCGTCGCGGCCGTTCACGAGCACGCGCTCGCCGAAGATGTCGCGCTCGCCGAGGCCCTTGATGCGGCCGCCGACGACGAGCGAGCCGCGGCGCTCGTCGACGAGGGACCGCGCCAAGGTCGGCGTCTCGGCCGCGTCGGGGTCGCCGAGCGCCGCCGCGAGGAACACGGCCGCCGCGGCCGGCGCCGCGTCGCCGTAGAGGCCGAGGTCCAGGTCGCCGAAGACGGGCGGGTCCGGGTCGTCGTCGCGCACGCTGAAGGTGCCGTCGGCGCGCGCGACGCGCACGCTGAGGCGCAGCGTCGCCGTGACGGCCCTCGACGGCCGGGGCTCCGCGGCGAGCGCGGCCTTTTGCGCCGCGACGACGCGGTCGGACTCGCGCGAGCTCGCGGCGGGCGCGCGCGGCGCCTCGCGCGGCCGCGGCGGCGCGAGCGCCTCGGAGGCCGACTCCGTCGGCACGTCGGCGAGCCACGCCGGCGCCGCGCCGGCCGCCGCCGGCCACGCCGCGGCGGCCGTGCCCAGCAGCCGTCGCCGCTCGACGACGCGCACGCCGCCGCAGAGCAGCGGCGCGAGCAGCAGCAGGCGCATTGCTGGCATGATGCTGGAGTTTGCTGCGACGCTGCTGCTGGCGCTTCTGTGCTCGCTGTCGACGACGCTGCCGTCGGCGCAAGCGCAGAGCTGGCGGCGGGGGGCTGCAACTTGCCCGCAGCCCTGACTGTTGAGGTGGACGATGGTGTAGTGGACGACACGATGGAGTCTCCGCTTTCGCTTTGGGGGCGCCGGTTCCTTGACGACGTGCAGCGCAGACGCGCCTCGGGCCGCGGCATCAATAGCCTTATTTATGTGCCAATTGACTGGAGAAACGGAGCGCCAATCGAAGATGATCCAGAGGGATATACAGCCCTATATTACGCAGCGCTACAGGGGTTTTCCGAAACCATTACACGTCTCCTGGAGAATGGCGCCGACATCCACACCGGCAGACCCGTATGCCTCCAAACGCCACTGCACGTCACCGCTCAAGTAAACCGACTAAACGCAGCGGCGGTCGTTCTGCTCGATGCGGGCGCTCGAGTCGACGATCGCGACATCTATGGGCGTATTGCGCTCCACTTCGCTGCCAAGAGAGGACTGACCAAATTTTGCCAGCTCCTCCTGAGTCGCGGCGCGTCGCTCGACGTTCGAGACTTCGAGGGTAAAGACGCCGTGGCCTACGCGCGACGCTGCAACAAAATAGCCACGGCCGACTTCTTCGGCGGGGTCCGCGCCGCCGGCGGCTGGGCGAAATATGTCGCTGCGCCGCGCGCCGAGCTACTCGCGCTCCGCCACGAACTCCCCTCGCTCCGCGAGCGCGGCCGCGCGTCCCTGTCGACCGTGCACGCGCACGAGCTCCTCTTCCTGAACACGACGCTGCCCGACGAGGTCTTCTCTTGCATCCTCGCATTCTGGCGGACCCCGCGCGACTACGACGAATACGATGTCGATTCTGACAACGACTCCGACTCGGAATCTGACGATTCCGACTCGGAGGCGGACGATACCGACTCGGAGGCGGACGATACCGACTCGGGGGCTGACGGCGAGCCCGATTCGGAAGCGGACGGCTAGTTGACTAGTGGCGTTAAGAAGGGGTGCGCCGACGAGGCATCCGGGCGCGGAGCTCGTGCGGAGCCACCACGACCGGCGCGCGCCGCCTCGGCACAGGCCTCGGCGCGCCCACCCGTGGGCACGGCGGCGACCGACACGACCGATGGAGCCAAGCTCGGAGAGCTCCTGAAACCGCTGCTCTGCGAGCACCGGTGGTCGCGCGACACAAGCGGCGCGCCACTGAAGCACCGCCGCACGCCGACGACCATGGCGCAGCCGCAGCAGCGCGACTGGACCGACGACATCGACCTCTCCTACGAGGCGAACGAGACCAACGCCAAGCAGGGCGACTACTACGTCGAGGGCTTCGGCGCCGCCGCGCCCGTGGAGGACGCGCCGCCCGCGGACACGGCGTCGTCGCGCGCGTCGACGCCGACGGAGATCCTCGACGAGGACGACATGGGCCTCCGCGAGCGCGCGTCCGCGTACAAGGCGATGTGGCGCGACACGGGGAGGGCGAAGAAGAAGGTGACGAGGCGCGCGCCCGCGCGCGTGCGCCTGCCGCTGCCCAAGTACGGCGCCGTCAAGAAGACGCTGCGCAAGCCCGAGAAGCGGGCCGCGGCCTACGCGGCCGCGCCCGTCGCGTTCTTCCCCGGCGACGACGGCGCCGCCGCGTCCTTCGTCGACTTCGAGCTGCCCTACGGCCTGCTCGTCGAAGCCGCCAAGGAGCGCGCCGCGGAGCGGGCGCGCAAGGCCGGCGTGCGGTCCCTGGACGTCGCCTTCGCCGAGTTCGAGCTCGTGAAGCGGAACGTCTTCGCGCACCGCGCGGAGCGCGTCTGGCGGACCGTCGAGGACGCGGACGGCGGCCGCTGCGGCTGCGACAAGGCCTGCGAGTTCGTCGAGCTCGACGACGACGGCGACGACCGCGACGACGACCCGGAGCGCAGGGGGCGCAGCGGCTGCTTCGCGGCGTGCCCGAGCCGCGCGTCGTTCATCGAGTGCACGCCTCTGACGTGCTCGCTCGGCAAGCGCTGCGCGAACCGGCGGCTCCAGCGCATCAACGCGGCGACGGGCGTCGAGGTGCGGGACACGGGCGACGCCGTCAAGGGCTTCGGGCTCTTCGCGACGCGGCGCCACCGGGCGGGCAACGTCCTCGGCGAGTACGTCGGCGAGGTCATGCCCCGTGTGCAAATCAACCACTGGTTTGGGACGTCCCGACCAAACTTTGAAATTCTCTAGCTCGCTCAAATCGAAGTCGATTCGGCTGATTTTTGGACGGATCGATTGCTCTCGTCGAGTTCTCGAAGCACGGCGGAAGTGAGTGTGTCAAAACATTCGAATACGCTCACATTGAAGTCGGGTTGAAGATTTGATTCGCACACAGGTCATGCCGGCGCGGCGCTACGCGGAGCTGCGGAACTCGCGCGACGAGAAGCACTCCTACTTCATGGCGCTGGGCAAGGGCGACGTCATCGACGCGAGCCGCTACGGCGGCCTCACGCGGTTCTTGAACCACTCGTGCGCGCCGAACTGCGAGGCCGAGAGCTGGATGGTCAACGGCGAGATGCGCGTCGCGATCGCCGCGCTCCGCGACATCGCGAAAGACGAGGAGATCACCTTCGACTACAGCTGGTCCAGCGGCGACGCGCGGACGGCGGCGCAGCCGTCGAAGGTGTCGAGCGACCGGCGGTGCCGCTGCGGCGCGCCGAACTGCCGCGGCGTGCTCGGCGACCGCGAGGAGATCGTGCTGAGCCAGGCGCTCGCGGCCGCGCCGCCGGCGGTCGCCGGCGGTCCTCGGAAGCGCCCCGCGCGGTCCGTGCCCGAGGGCAAGGCCCTGGAGCCCGCGACGCGGGCCGTCGTCCGCGCGGGCTTCTGCCGCGAGGACGGCGACGCCGTCGAGCGCGCCGTCGACGCGTGGTGGCGGCGCCGCGACGCCGTCGCGTCGTCCAAGCCCTTCCAGATCGCGAAGCGGGCGCGCCTCTTCCTGCTGCGGAACGTCTTCGGCGCCGACCCGGCGGAGCACCAGCGGCGGCTCCTCGAGCCGGGCGCCGCCGCGGAGCGCCGCGCGCCGCGGCCGCGGCCGCGGCCGCCGGGCGCGGCCGCGGCGTCCTTCGCCGCCTTCCTCGCGCTCGACGACGCCGGCCGCGAGGCGCTGGAGCCGCGGCCCGACGAGCCCGAGTGGACGAAGCGCCTCCTGGCCGCGGCGCGCGCGCGGCCGAGGCCGCCGCGGCCGCCCGCGCCCGCGCCGCGGCCGCCCGCGCCGCGGCCCGCGCCGCCGCCGGCGCTCCTCGACGACGGCGACGTCGACGACGACGACGCGGCCATGGCCGCCGAGGCCGCGGCCGCGGCGCCCCACGGCGACGACGGCTCGCGCACGGCGAGCGAGAACGACGGCGTCGCGTCGGGCACCGAGTCGGGCGACGACGGCGCGCCCGCGGACGACGAGGCGCCCCGCTTCGAGGCCGAGGACGACGAGGCGGCGCCCCTCTTCGAGGCCGAGGACGACGAGGCGCCGCCGGCCGCCGAGGAGGCGGCGCCGCCGGCCGAGGAGGCGCCGCCGCCGGCGGCGCGCTTCGCCGCGGGCGACCGCGTCCGCGCGCGCTTCGACCGCCAGCGGACGCTCTACCCCGGCGTCGTCGCCAAGGTCCACGGCGACGGCACCTACGACATCGCCTACGACGACGGCGACGAGGACTCGCGGCTCGAGGAGGCGTACGTGCGATCGCCGGCGAAGGCGCCGCCGCCGAGGAAGGCCGCGCCGCTCCCGGCGCCGCCGAAGAAGGGCGTCCTCAAGCGCCCGGCGCCCGCGGAGGCCGCCGGCGACGACGACTCCGCGCGGTCCGCGAGCCCGCGCGCGGCGGACGGCACGCGGCGCATCCCGAAGAAGAAGAAGGCGAAGAAGGGCGCCGCGGCCGAGCCCAGGCCCGCGGACCCGCGGAAGCGCAAGGCGAGCGTCAGCGAGCCCAAGCCCGCGGACTCGCCGCGCGAGGCCCCGGCGGACCCGCGCAAGCGCAGGCGCGAGGACGCGCCGCCCGCGCCGCCGCCCGCGCCGCCCGCGCCGCGCGCGCGGCCCGAGCCGCGGCCCGAGCCGCCGCCCGACGACGCGCCGCCGCCGCGGCCCCGCGACTACGACCGCCGCTTCGACGACCGCTTCCGCGAGCCGTCGCCGCCGCGGCGCCGCCGGTCGCCGAGCCCGCTCCGGCGCCGGCCGCCGTCGCCGCCGCCGCGCCGCCGCCCGCCGTCGCCGCCGCCGCGCCGCCGCCCGCCGTCGCCGCCGCCGCGCCGCCGCGACTACTCGCCGGACCGCCGGTCGCCGCCGCGGGGCTACCGGCCCCGGTCGCCCGAGCCGCGGCCGCGCGTCTACCAGCGCGCGAGGCTCTAAGTGGCCCGTCGCCAACGGACACGTCCCCGAGGCGCCGCCGCGTGTTACCTCGACGAGTTCGCGGGCGCCGCCGTCGGGAAGCACAGGTTGCGCGCGTCGTCTCGTCGCTCGCGGAGGAGCGCGTAGGACTCCGCGCGCGAGCCCGCGAGGCGCGCGGACGCGTAGGCCGCGCGGCTCGTCTCCGAGTGGCGCCAGTCGAAGGGCGAGCTGCGGCCGCCGTAGTCCTCCTCGACCCACCAGGGGTGCTTGCCCGGCGGCGGCTTCGCCGGGAGCCACTCCACGGACGTCTCGTGCGAGAGCCACGCGAAGACGCCCGACAGGCAGGCCAGCAGGCCGCAGGCGAGCAGCCAGCCCCAGACGGGCACCCACAGGATCGTCGTCGCGAAGAAGCGCCGCGCGCGCTGGCGCCAGGTCTCCTCCTCGCGCCGCGTCGCCTCGAGCGCCGTCTCCGTCGTCGGCGCGTACGTCGGCGCGTACGCGGTGGTAGGCGCGTCGGACGTGAGCGTCGCGACCGCGACGGCGATGACGACGGTGTGCTTGGCCTCCTTGACGGCCTCGGCGCTGCCCGTCATGTTGGCGAAGTTGACGAGCTCCGCGGCGAAGGCGCCGTCGTCGACGGCGCCCTCGAGCGCGTCGCGGACGTCCGCCTCGTAGTCGAAGATCGTCGACACGTTCGTCGCGTCGTGGATCACCAGGTCAAAAGTAACGAGGCACGACGACGCGAGCTTCCGCGCCCGCAGCCGCCGGCCGACGGACGCGACGGCGCCGAAGTTGACCATCGTGTCGACGCGTAAGCCGAGCACGCCCGTCACCGACTGCTTGAACGCGTAGACGTACTGGCCGTCCGTGAAGGCCGACGCCTCGACGCCCTCCATGCGCATGTCGACGCCCAGCTCGAAGGCGGGCAGCGTCGGCTTCGGGTTGTCCGGGTTCGGCGTCGGCGCGCGCGACGGCGCGGTCGTGGGATCCGTGGGCCCGGCCGTGGGCGCGCGGCTCGGCTTTCGGCTCGCGCCGGCGCGCGTCGGCTGGGCCGACGGCTCGTAGGTGAAGACGACGCAGTACTCTTCGCAGTACTCGCAGGTGAGCTGCTTGATGTGGGGGTGGTTCTTGCCGTGCGTCGCGCATTCCGCCGAGCACCAGTCGCACGCGGCCGGCGTCTCCTTGGGGATGCAGCCCTGGGGCGCGACGCTCGGGTCGTCGTCCTCGCAGTACTCCACGGGCACGCAGCCGTCGTCGTTCGCGTCGTCGTCGTCGTCGTCGTCGCAGAAGCTGTGCCGGCCCGCCGTCGGCGCGAAGCTCGGGTAGATGGTGTAGGGGGCGCCGTCGTCCGTCGCCGCGGCCGCGAGGACGCGCGCGTGGACCGTCCCGCGGCGCACGCCGGCGCCGGCCAGGAAACCGGCGCCGAGGACGAGGACGACGACCGCGGGCAGAGCCCGCGACGCCATCGTCACAGCCCCCGTCGATACGCATCCAAAAAAATGCATCAGTTATTTTTTACCTCTTGTTTGAACCTCTGGGGCTGCCCCGACGGCGCGGCCACACGATGGCTCTGCCTTCCGACGGCGGCAGCGCTGCCGCCTACTACTGGGTGCCCGTGAACACCGATGACGCGTACGTGCTCGGCCGCAAGTCCGGCGCGGGCTTCGTCGACGCGGACAGCGGCGAAGCCATCGACGCCGTCGCCGCGGCGGACTGCTACGCCGTGGCCAGCCCGGCGGCGGCGCGCGCCGTCGTCGCGGACATGGTGCAGATGCACGAGGTGAACCGCGCGTCGATCCTGCACGTGCTGCGCGCGCGCTACGGGTCCGGCGACATCTACACGGCCATGGGCTCCGTGCTCGTGGCGACGAATCCCTTCGAGCGCCTCGACGCCGTCTACGCGCGGGCGACGCTCGGTCGCTTCGTGGACCCGCAGACGCCCGACGAGGACCTCGAGCCCCACATCTGGTTCACGGCGCGGCGCGCCTACCGCGCCCTCGTCTCCCACGGCGTCGGCCAGTCGTTGATCGTCTCCGGCGAGTCCGGCGCGGGCAAAACGGAGACGACGAAAAAGGCGCTCGAGTACGTCGCCGCGGCGAGCGCGACGCGCGGCGACGGCGGCGGCGGCGGCGGGGCCGTGTCGGCGAAGGTGCTGTCGGCGTCGCCGATCCTCGAGGCCTTTGGGAACGCGAAGACGCTCCGCAACGACAACAGCAGCCGCTTCGGCAAGTACCTCGAGGTCGTCCTGGACGGCGGCGGCCGCGTCGTCGGCGCGAAGACGACGAACTACCTGCTGGAGAAGTCGCGCGTCGTCCGGCAGGCGCCGGGCGAGCGCGGCTACCACGCGTTCTACCACTGCGTAGCCGGCGAGAACGCGCGCGCGGAGCACCCCGGCGGCGACGCGGTGTCCGCGGCGGCTTTAGGCGCGCGCCTGGGCATCGGGTCCCGCGGCGCCGAGACCTTCGCCTACGCGCGCGGCGGCGGCTGCGTCGAGATCCCGGGCGTCAACGACGTCGCGGAGCTCGACGCCGTGCTGGAGGCGGCCGTCGCGCTGAACGTCGCCGAGGAGGAGCGGCGGTGGATCTACGGCGTCGTCGCGGCGGTGCTCCACCTCGGCGACGTCGCCTTCGAGGCGGCGGGCGGCGGCACGGACGCGTCCAAAGTCGTCGACGGGACCGCGCCGTTCCTCGAAGTTGCGGCGACGCTGCTCGACGCAGGGCAGCACAAGAGAGCGAAATTCCCAACTTCAAAGGCTCCTATCTCGGCCGTTTTCCACTCGTTTCGGCTGATTTTTGGACGAGCGATCATCTCTCGGAACGGTTTCGAAGCGTGGATGTGTTTTCCGTAACGCGCGCGCGCGGAACACTCACGTTGAAGCGACGTTGAATCACCCTTGTCCTGCCCAGGCTCGACGTCGACGCGGCGCGCCTCGGCCGGGCGCTCGTGACGCGGACCATCTCCGCCGGCGGCCGCGGGTCCATCAACGTCGTCGTGCTGGCGGCGGGCGCCGCGGGCGACGCGCGCGACGCGCTGGCGAAGGCGCTCTACGCGAAGCTCTTCGACTGGGCCGTGGATCGGGTGAACCGCGAGATGGAGGCGCCCGCCGGCGAGGCGAAGACCATCGGCGTGCTCGACATCTTCGGGTTCGAGATCTTCGAGTCGAACTCCTTCGAGCAGCTCTGCATCAACCTGACGAACGAGCAGCTCCAGAACAAGTTCAACCGCGACATCTTCGAGCTCGAGCTCAGGCTCTACGCGGACGAGGGCGTGCCCTGCGACGGCGTCGAGTACAAGGACAACTCGGACGTCATCGCGCTCCTGGGCGACGTGCTCGCCATGCTCGACGAGGAGGCGCGGCTGCCCCGGGGCTCCGCGAAGAGCTGGAGCAGCAAGGTGGGCAAGAAGCACGACACGCACGCGCGCCTCCGCGTCGACAAGCGCGCCGCGGGCGAGGCCTTCGGCGTCGTGCACTACGCGGGGTTGGTGACCTACGACGTCGACCAGTTCCTGGTGAAGAACGTGGACCAGCTCAGCGGCGACCTGTCGAGCTGCGTCGCGGGCTCGTCGCACGAGAGGACGGCCGCGCTGCTCACGTGGAACGACGCGCCCGCCGCTGCCGCGCCGCGCGCGCGCGGCGGCCGGGGCTCCGGCGGCGGGAGCAAGACGACCGTGTCGAAGAAGTTCCGGGGCCAGCTCGCGTCGCTGACGACCGCGTTGAACGCCACGGAGCCCCACTACGTGCGCTGCGTGAAGCCCGGCGCGGGACACGGGCGCGAAAAGGCGCCTCGCTCGGTCGTGTTCCACTCGTTTCGGCTGATTCTTGGACGAGCGATCATCCCTCGAAACGTGCATGCTTTCCTTCTGGGAACGCGCGCGGAACGCTCACATTGAAGCGACGTTGAACCCTGCCCAGGTGAAGCCGAACATGGAGAAGGTGAAGCGCGTCTTCCGGTCGCCCGTCGTTCTGGAGCAGCTGACCTACGCGGGCGTCTTCGAGACGGTGACGATCCAGCAGAGCGGCTGGCCCTTCCGCAGCCCCCACGAGCGCTTCGCGACGCGCTATTTCGTGCTAGACCTGAAGAACGCCGCGGCGCTGCGGCGGCTCGGGCCGTCGGGCCACGCGCGGGCGCTCCTCGCGGGGCTGCGGGCGTCCGACGACCGCTGCTTCGGCGCGACCCAGGTGGCGTTCGGCAAGACCGTGGTCTTCTACCGCGCGACGGCGGCGTCGCGGCTCGAGGCGCTGCGCGCCGCGGCCCACGCCAAAGCCGTGCTCCGCGTCGCCGCCGTCGCGCGAAGCGCGCTGGTGTTGAAGACGAAGCGCCGCCTGGGGCGCGCGGCGGCGACGCTCGAGGGCGCGCTCGCGGCGCGGCCGCGGGAGATCCGCGCGCTGCGGCCGGCGGTGGCGGAGGCGCACGCGGTCGCGGCGGCGAGCGTCGCGTTCCTCCACGGCTTCCTGCCCGCGGCCTTCGAGGCGGCGCTCGAGCGCGGCGACGCCGTCCTGAAGGCGCTGGAGGAGGGCGAGCGGCTCGCGGGGATCCTGGAGGCGTTGGTCGCCAAGGACGACGCGGCGGCGCACTACGACGACCTCGAGCGCGCGTTGAAGGCCGTGGACGCGGTCGCGGACCCGGACGCGACGCGGGGCGGGCGGCTGAGCGCCGCCGCGGAGGCCGCGCGGGCCCAGGTGCGCGGCGTGCGCGACCTCATGGTCGCGAAGCGGTGCCTGGAGCGCGGCGTCGCGGAGCGGAGCAAGGCGGACCTCGAGGAGGGCCTCGGGGCCCTCGCGCGGCTCCGCGCGGCCGGCGCGGTGTCGGCCGACTTCTGCGCCGCGGAGGAGCGCGCCGCCGAGGCCTGCAAGGACGCCGTCTTCGCGGAGGTGGCGGCCGTCGTGCCGCCGATTCGAAAAGCGGCGGGCGCGGGCGCCTGCGCCGTCCCGCTGGACCGCCGCGCGGTCGACGCGGCCGCGCTGCGGTCCGCGGTCGCGGCCGCGCGGTCGGCGCTCGGCGGCGCCGCGACGGCGGCGGAGAGCGCGCGCTGGCTCGCCATCGGCGACGCCCTCGCGGACGCGCGCGAGGGCATCCTGGAGCGCCGCGGCTACGGGACCATGGGCGCCGTCGACGCGCTCGAGCGCGCGCTCGCGACCGGCGGCGGCGGCGACGACGCCGCGGCGCTCCGCGCGGAGCTCGAGGCGCTGCGCCGCGCCGCGGAGGACGACGCCGCCGCCGACGAGATCGCGCGCGCCCTCGCCGCCGGCGCC